ATTTTCAGAATGTAAAATCGTGAGAAACTTTTGGAAGACGAAATCAACAATATAAATTTTTTGGTAATTTTCGAAATCATTGGGTAGGGGTCAAAAATTCATAGTCAGGAAATGAAAAAATTGCCTTAAAATCCTTAAAAATTCGAAAAGACAGATTTCGACAATCTTGGTGTTGAAAATATTCGGGTATAAAGTCAAATTTTGAAATATCTCACTTTCAATTTTGGCAATTTTGGAAAAATGGTAACAATTGTCAAAGACGTGGATTGACATCAGTTTCTGAAATTCTGAATCAATAATAGATTTTTTTGTAATTTTTGACGGCATCTGGGGAAAAATTAAAAATTTTTAGCAAAAGTATTCAAAAATTGAGCTTTGAAAAACTGAGGTTCGAAAAATTGAGTTTTGACAAAGTTGCCTAAAAATCCCCAAAAAATTCTGACCGATAAATTTCAAGGAACTGAATACAAAAACCTATCGTATTGATGACTCCGGACCAGAATTAGCGGCTATCATCCAAAATCCCGGAATAATGGTGATAGTCTTATTAGCGACTTATTCAGGGCGATTCCAGGAAAACCGAGTGGCCAAGAATTATGAAAAAAATCGTACTTGCGTAGGAACAATAGTCTATCGAGGACAATAATTCAACCATTTTTTTCGAAATATTCGAATTTATATTGAGATTTTTAAATATCTCAAATTTTGTCAGTTACTATATTTTGGTGATTTTGAAAAAATTACAGGAATTTTCAAAAAAATAAATGCGTACGAAACTTCTGAAAGTCGAAATCAACAATATACATTTTTTTGATAATTTTCGGCGGTTTCCGGGGTAAAGACAAAATTCAAGAATAATGGTACGAATCTTCAAAAAGTAGATTCGTAAGAAACTACTGGAGGTCGAAAGCAACATAATATTTTTTTTTGCTAATTTTCGGCGGCATCCGGGGAAAAGTTCAAACATTCGTAGAGGCAACTTGTTATAGAAAATTGAGCTTTGGTAAAGTTATCAAATTTCGACAAGCTTGGTTTTCGAAATATTCGAGTATACATTCAAATTTTTTAAATATTTCAAAATTTGTCACTTTCTACTTCAGCGATTTTGGAAAAATGGTAAGTATTTTCAAAGAAATTAATTGATAAAAAGCTCTGGAGGTCTGAATCAATAATAGAAATTTTTGTAAATTTTGGGGGCATCTGGGGAAAAGTAAAACATTTTTACCGGAAAGTATTGAAAATTTGAGCTTTGAAACATTGAACTTTGAAAAATTGAGCTTTAAAAAATCAAGCTTTGAAAAATTGAGCTTTTAAAATTTAAGATTTGACAAAGTTGCCTAAAAATCTCCAAAAAATTCTAAGAGATAGATTTCGTCGGACTAAATACAAAAACCTCCCATCGAAAATCGCAGAATAATAGTAACATTGTTATTGTAGGGATTTATTTAGAGCGATTCCGGGAAAATAGTATGAAAGTATGAAAAAATTCGTGTTTACGTAGGAAGAATATATCTATCGAGGAAAATAGTCCAAGGTTTTCGAAATATTCGAATTTAAATTAAAATTTTTAAAATGTCTCAAATTTTATCAGTTACTATTTTGGCCCTTTTGGAAAAATAGTAGAAATTTTCAAAAAAGTAAATTCGTAAGAAACTTCTAGAGGTCGAAACCAACAATTTTTTAGGTATTGAAAAACTCAGCTTTTGGCAAAATTGTCTAAAAATGCCCAAAAAAATTTGTGAGATAGATTTCGACGAACTGAATCGTAAAACATATCGTACTGATGATTCCGGACTAAAACTGCAGGCTAGCAACGAAAATTCCGGAATAATCGTGGCATTCTTGTTAAGGACTTGTTTAACACAATTCCGGGAAGATCGGGTGATTAAGAATTATGAACAAATTCTTAGTTCAGTACAAACGATAGGCTTATCAGGGAAAACAATTCAAATACTACCATTAGTTTTCGAAATATTCGGGTTTAAAGCCGAATTTTTAAAATATCTCAAAATTTGTCACTTCCTACTTTGCGATTTTGCAAAAACTGTAGGAATTTTCAAAGTGGATTAATAAAAACTTCTAGAGGTCTGAATCAATACTAAAAAATTTTTGTAATTTTTGACGGCATCCCCAAAAAAGTTAAAAATTTCTACCGGAAGAAAGTGAACTTTGAACAAAGTTGAATAAAAATTCCCAAAAATTCTGAGAGATAAATTTAGACCAACCGAATAGAAAAAATAACGTCTTGATGGTTCCTATTCAATGGCTATCAAAGAAAATCCCGAAATAATGGTGACATTCCTATTAGGGATTTATTGAGGGCGATTCCAGGAAAACCGGGTGGCCAAAAAATTATGAAAAAAATCGTGTTTACGAGGAAACAATAGATCTATTGGAGGAAAATAATCCAGTAATTGGTTTTACAAAATATCTCAATTTAGATTCAAATTTTTTAAATTTCTCAAACTTTATCAGTTACTATGTCTGATGATTTTGGAAAAATGGTAGACATTTTTAAAGGAGTAAATTCCTAAGAAACTTCTGGAAGTCGAAATCAACAATAAAAATTTGTCGGTAATTTTTGACGGATTCCGGAGAAAAGTCAAGAATTCATATTGACAGCAACCGAAAAATTGAGCATTTGGTAGAATTCTCTAAAAATCACCAAAAAATTCTGCGAGATATATTTCGACGGGCTGAATCAAAAAACATCGTATTGATGATTTCGGACTGATAATGCAGGTTGGCAACGAAAATTACCGAATAATCTTGTTACGGACTTATTTAGGGCAACTCTGGAAAAATCCGGTGGCTAAGAATTATGAAAAAATTCGTGATTACGATAGGTCTATCGGGAAAAGCAATTGAAACTTCATACGACTATTGGTTTTCGAAATATTCCTCCTTAAAGTCAAATTTTTTAATCACCTGGAAATTTGTCACTTTCTGTTTTGGTGATTTTCGAAAAATGGTAGAAATTTTCAGACAAGTAAATTCGCAAGAAACTTCTGGAAGTCCGGACTAACACTGCAAGTTAGCAACGAAAATTCCGGCATTCTTGTTAAGGACGTGTTTAGGGTGATTTTGGCAAAGCCGGGTAACCAAGAATCATGAAAAAATTTACGTATGCACAGGAACTATAGGTCTATTGAGAAAAATAATCCAAACTTGATACCATAATTGCTTTTCAAAATTTTCGGATTTATATTAAAATTTTTAAAATTTCTCAAAATTTCTACCGAGGAAAAATACAAAACCACTAATTTTCGAATCCATAAAAAAATTCTGACGGTCGAAATGAACAACAATTTTCAACGACTTCCATGGAAAGTTCAAAAATTCATTCAGTATTGAAAACGTGAGCTTTTGCAAAGGTGCCTAAAAATCCACAAAAGATTCAGAAAAAATGCCGTGTGGAACTGTTGTCGATGGTTCCGGACCAAAATTTCAGACTAGTATGAAAAATTCCGGAATAATCGTGGCATTTTTGTTAAGGACTTATTCAGGGCATTTCCTCAAAAACCGGGTAACCAAGATTTATGAAAAACTTGATACCGCAATTGGTTTTAGAAATATTCCAATTTAAACAACAAGTTTTCAAATATCTCACAATGTCTTAGTTACAATTTTGGCGATTTTGGAAAAAGGGTAGGAATTTTAGAAAAAATGAATTCATGAAAAACTTGGAGACGGAAGTCAGCAATAAAATTTTTTGTGGTAATTTTCGGTGGCATTCGGAGAAAGGACAAGGTGCTGAAAAATTGAACTTTTGTTGGTGGTTTCGGAGCAAAACAGGAATAATCGTGGAATTTTTATTAAGGACGTATTTAAGGCGTTTCCAGGAAAACCAAGTTCCCAACAATTATGAAAAAATTCTTGTTTGCGAAGGAACGATAGGTCTATCGAAGAAAATAAACCAAACTTAATACCACCATTGACTTTCGAAATAATCGTATTTAAAAATCAAATTTTTAATTTTATAATATCAAAATTTGTCAGTTACTATTTTGACGATTTTGGAAAAATGATAGGAAATCAACAAGAAACAATTTTTTGATAATTTCCGACGACATCCAGGAAAAAGTCAAAAATTCATGCAGGCAACAATTTAACTTTTGGTAAAGTTACCTAAAACTCCACAAAAAATTCTGAAAGATAGATTTTGACAAGCTGAATCTAAAAACATACCTTGTTGATGGTTCCGGACCAAAACTGCAGACTAGTGTCGAAAATCCCGGATTAATCGATCATTCTTTTTAAAGACATATTGATGGCAATTTCTGGAAAACCGGTGGCCAAAAATTATGGAAAAAATCGCGTTTGCGCGGGAATGATAGGTCTATTTGAGAAAAATAATCCAAACTCGATATAACCTTTGGTTTTTGAAATATTTGTATTTACATTCAAATTTTTAAAATATCTCAATATTTGTCGCTTTCCATTTTGCTGATTTTTGAAAAACTGTAATACTTCAGTAAATATTTTTAGAGAACTATGCGTGCTAGAAAAAAAGTGTAAGCAAATTCGTAAACAGTGCTAAGAACTAAATTAGGAAAAAGCATGAATAATACAAAAGTTTTCTTTATTGCAAAGTTCCAGAGTGTTGTATCTCGTAATGTGTATTTGTAGGGAATATGTTTAACGATAACATTTATCGAAAAAATAATTAACCCTAATATTTTTCCGAGACCAGTCGGAAACTTTACATCTTCCACCCCGAGAAAATCGATAAAACCCGGAAACAGAAAATCTTAATACAGCAGAAAAACACTCTTGGAGACTGCTAGATTGCAGGAAATGAATGATAAATGTTATCGATGGAAGAAGACGGCGCATATGAATAGATAAAACAGAATGAGATGGCGGTTGTATTGTTACGTACGGTTGTTTACCATACTTCTATCAAAGAGCATCAATAGCAAAACTGAAAGAGGTTGATGGCCCATAGCCTTTCTGCCAAAATACATACAGTGCAGTGGTTTTCCCTTTGGAGTACTGACCTCTTCGTCACCTACCTCGGCCTTTTTGGCCTTTGGATCGGCGACCTGCAATGTCTCATCCGGGGGCAGCCGCCACTCGTTTCGGTCAGCGTGCACATTAGCGTGCATTCCGTTATCCGCCCCGTGTTCTCACCCTTCCGTGCCGCCACTGTCTCAACTCTTGCGTCACCTCCGCTGGAAGTGGGCTCTTTCGAGTGGACTCAACAGTTTTGATCTGAAATATAACAAGAACAATGAGATTTTTCGCTCGAACACTAAATTATCGATTAGGGCTCGATCGCCTTGATCAGAGGCATCGAGCCCGATTTAAATTTATTTATTTTGATTTCGTTTTTGAAAGCTATGTATCTGTCGGTTGGAGCTTACTTGAGTGATCGATATAAAATGACGCGGTCAGTGGAGTGACATAACAAAGTGACGACAAAAAAAACAAACATTTTCTAAGTTGTTTACGGCCGTTTTTCGGCAGATAAATCTCGGGGAAGGGCTCGGAAACCCCGTTTAAATCATTTTTCAACTTACTACTATTATAAAATATGCACATGCTCGGCAGGACTTCCGGATTTATGTTTCTCAGCGCGGGTCTATTTGAAGATGGATTTCTCTTCTCGGGGAAACTACGCTAGATAAGTAAAGTAGTTCTAAGATGTTTTATGTGTTCGATACGTTACGTCGGGAAAATTATGTTAAATTACCCCGTCGAGCTGCCAGAGAGACCTAAATATTTTTTGGCCGCTTCGGTCGGTGCGCCAATCGAACATGCTTCAAAGGCTGAAATGTACATGAGCTGAATAATGCGAATTCAGTTACAAGCGAAATTGTTGAAGCATTCAGTTGTAACGACAAAGTATTTCGCATTACCATTCGGTCCCCAAAGCCGTACGAGTATTTAAAAATTCAACACGTTTTTGCGTATTTGGTTTAACAACTCATCCGTTTGCACTTCTGTGACGTAATGCTGCAATAATAATGGATAACAGACGACTGCGTCCCACGGGTGCAGCCCCCAAAGCAAAAGGGGAAATTTATTCCGCAAATCTGTAATTTAAAACAAACATTCGACGCATTTTTGGGACAATTTTGTCAGTTTAAAAATGTTAATGAAAATGTATAAAAACTACTATCCAGTACTCGCTCCGCTCGTTCTCAGTAACGTTGAATGCTCGCCAGATCTCTTGATTTATTCCACCGCAACATGTAAACAACCAGCCGGTTAACAGTATACTAGATCACACAGCCTGTTTAAAAATCAATACTACGACGTACATAAATGATAAAGAATTCAAAGCATCACTCCTCGAATTTGCCAACTTAATAGAAGCATAACGTTTTTCACTTTTAAAGTTTCCCAGCATCCTATAGTTTCATTTGTGCACGACTTTTATGCATTTTCCATATCTAAACTTTCTATGCCCCAACGTGATATAAATCACAATTTGCTGCATCCACCTCTAATAAATTTAAGAAATCGAATTTTTCACCAGGTCGCAGTACGCAATATCTTTTCGAGTATTTCCGTTCTGACGCTGACAGGTTTCAGCGTAAAAGTGACTTTAATATTTATGAACTCTTCATTTGACGTCTACAAACACATTTCGGGCGGCCTTTCCACACTCAAAAACCCTGGAGGGAGACAATAATGCAAAGAATGAAAAATTGCACTCGAGGTAAAAGGTCAATTAAAGGAGAAACGGCGATCAATCTTTCGTTTTTTATTAAACTCAAATAAACAAAAATAAATCACGAGGGGTAACCGAAGTGCTGTGATTTTTTATTTGAGAACAATGCTCCGCGGAGAAGCTAATTTTAACTTGGCTTTGCATAAATATGTCATTATCAAAGGGTTGCATGCACCTCTGCAAGAAATCTTTATTTACGTTTTTTTAAATTGTGTGATAAGGTGGTTAAAATAGAATTTCTTGAGGGGGAACTTGAACTTTTTTATCGACGGAAATTTAACACAGAATCAAAAATGACATAACGCTGAATTCAGAAAATATTCAACGCAAGATATGTACTTAAATTCTAAACGTGATTGTGAAATAACGTCATTAATTTTTTGGTTGGGATGAACAGACAAATTTTGGCTAGTCCATCAATCCGGAAATTTTATATCTAATAAGATTGCTATAAGATTACTAACAGGCATACAATAGACAGACGGAAACAGGAGATAAATAATTTTTTATGTTGTAAAAGCTGAGACAAATTAGACAAGAAAAATTGGTAAAAGGTTATTTCGACAGAACTTTCCCCGCCCCTTAAATGCAGCCTAACAAATCCTGCTTCTTTGAAAAATTATAAAAAAATTTGCGATTTTTATTTTCTGATATCCTCGATTAAGTAAAAACCAGTGTCGGAAATGACACTTGAATTTTTCAATTCATCAATTTTTCATTTTGCAATATGTCCAGTTTTCAAGTTTAAATTTTTCAGTTTCAATTTCCCAACTTTTGAATTTTTCAATTTTTAGATTCTGCAGTGTCTCGTTTTCAGTTTCTCGAGTTTTTAGTTTTTAATTTCTCAAATTTCCGTTTCGGTTTTTTATTTTCTTTGTTTCGATTTTACAATATTTTGTTCTTTCAATCCAATTTTTTCACTTTTTCAGTCCTTCAAATTTTCGCACCCCAATTTTTCGTTTCGGTTTTTTATTTTCTTTACTTTAACAATTTTTCGATTTTTCAATGTTCCAGTTTTACAATTTTTTGTTTTTTCGTTTTCAGTTTTTGCAATTTCTCGATTTGTAATTTTTTGTTTCTTCAGTTTTACGATTTCCAACTAACTGTTCGAGTTTTCATTTTTAAATTTTTCAGTTCTTCGATTATAAAACTTCTGTATATTTCAATTTTTAGATTTCACAATTTTTTTATTAAACTGCAAATGGGTTTTGAATTTTAAATTTTTCAATTTTCCGATTTTGCAATTTTTAACGTCTTCAATTTTTCGATTTGTAATTTTTCGTTTCGATTTTTTATTTTCTTTATTTTTTCAATTTTTCAGTTTTCGAATGGTCTAATTTTATAATCTTTAATTTTTAAATTTTTGGATTTTTCAATTTTTCAATTTGCAATTCTTCGTTTTTTGAATTTTAGGTTTTTCAGTCTGTCAAATTTTCAATTTTTCGTTTCTTCAATTTTCGATTTGGCATTTTTCTAGTTTTCATTTTCAATATGTAATAACTATAATTTTTAAAAAATTTCACCTTTCAATTTTAGAATTTTTCCATTTTTCAATTAATGGAATTTAAAATTTTTTATTAGTTCCATTTTTGGTTTTTAATTTTCAATTTGTCAGTAATTTATTTTAAAATTTTTCGATCTTTCAATTTACAATTTTGAGGATTCTGTAATTTTTCTATTTTACAATTTTTGGGTTTTCCAAATTTTTGATTCGTTTCGTTTTTTCTTCTTTTCAATTTTTAGACTGATTATTTTTTTTTAATGTTTCATTCTTTCGTTTCTTTAGAGCTTGCAAAGTTTCGATTTGAGTTTCACGAGTTTTTAATTTTTAATTTCTCAAATTTTTGATTTGCAATTTTTCGTTTCGGTTTCTTATTTTCTTTGTTTCGATTTTATTTATTTATATTTTATTTTTTTAATTCAATTTTTTTCTATTTTTCGTTTCTTCAATTTTTCGATTTGTGATTTCTCGATGTTTTTTGTTTCTTTAATTTTTGCTTTTGCAAGTTTTTAGTTTAAAATTTGTCAAGTTTTCAATTTTTTGATGATTAAATTTTTATTTTAACAATTTTTCTTCCTTCTAGTTTTTAGATTGATTATTTTTTCGATTTTTAAATTTCTCGAATTTTAGTTTTTCAATGTTCAATTCTTTCGTTTGTTCAGTGCTTCGACTCGCAATGTTTCGATTTGAGTTTTTAAAGTTTTCAATTTTTAATTTCTCAAATTTTTGATTTGCAATTTTTCGTTTCGGATTTTTTATTTTCTTTGTTTCGATTTTATAATATTTTGTTTTTTCAATTCTATTTTTTCCTTTTTCGTTTTCTCAATTTTTCAACTTGCGATTTCTTAATTTTTCATTTTTTTTGTTTCTTAAATTTTTTGCTTTTACAAGTTTTGGAATTAAAATTTCTCAAGCTTTCAATTTTTGGATCATTTAATTTTTACTTTCTTCAAATTTTTGGATTGTAATTTTTCTTTTCGGTTTTCATTTTCATTATTTTAACGATTTTCCGATTTTTCAATGTCCCGATTTTATTACTTTTGCTTTTCGATTTCAGTTTCTTGATTTTTCGATTTGCAATTTTTCAGTTTTTCATTTTTTTGCAACTCTTCGAATTTTCATTTTTAAATTTTTCAGTTTTTCGATTTTCCAACTTCTGGATATTCAGTTCACGAGATTTCAATTTTTAATTTTTTAATTTTGCCATTTTTCAATTTTTAATTTCTTCACTTTTACGATATGCAACTCTTCGAATTTTCATTTTTAAATTTTTCAGTTTTTTGATTTTCCAACTTCTAGACGTTACAATTTTTAATTTCTTCAATTTTTCATTTTGCAATTTTTCCTTTCGATTTTTTATTTTCTTTGTTTTTTCAATTTTTCTGTTTTCCAATGTTCGGATTTTATAATTTTTCATTTTTTCAATTTGAATTTTTTTAATTATTGGATTTTTCTATTTGCAATTTTTCTGTTTGTTAACCTTTAGGATTTTTACTTTTTCATATTTTCAAGTTTAGATTTTTCAGTTTCTCGATTTTTCAGTTTTAGTTTCTTCAATTTTCGATTTGCAATTTTTCTAGTTTTCATTTTAAATGAGTAATAATAACTATAATTTATAAAGAAATCACTTTTCAATTTTAGAAGTTTTCCATTTTTCATTGATTCGATTTTTGGATTTTTAATTTTTCAAATTTTTCGAGATGTGGTATCTCAGATTTTCGATTTGCAATTTTTCGTTTCGATTTTTGAATTTCTTTGTTTCGATTTTATATTGTTTTGTTTTTTTAATTCAATTTTTTCTATTTTTCAATTTATGATATCTCAATTTTTAATTTTTTTATTTGTTCAATTTTTTACTTTTTCAAGTTTTTGATTTAAAATTTCTCAAATTTTCAACTTTTCGATCCTTTAATTTTTCATTTCTTCAAATTTTTCGTTTCGGTTTTTATTTTCTTTATTTTAACGATTTTCCGATTTTTCAATGTTGCGATTTTATAATTTTTGCTTTTCGATTTCAGTTTTTTTAATTTTTCA